TTTATCCTAAGAATCCAAGATTGTTTTAGTATCAAAAAATCAGTCATTGTAATTTACTGTATTAGGAAGCCAAAAAAGAAAAATACCATATGATCATCTGAGAAAGTACAGAAAATGCATTTGATACAATCCAGCACCCATTAAAACTTTAAAGAAATTAGGAAAAGAGGGGAATTTCATCAACTGATAAAGGACATGTACGGAAAACCTATCGCTAACATCAGACTTTATGGTGAAAGGTAAAGATAGAAATAAGGATATTTACTCTCATTATTTTTTATCTCATATTTATTCTCATCACTTTTGTTCAACATTATACTACTAGCTAGTGCAATAAAGCAAGAAAAATAATTAAATGGCACACATTTGGAAGGGAAGAAATAACACTGTCTTTATTCATGAATGATACGATCCTGTATGTAGAAAATCCTATGGACTATCCAGAAAAGATACAAAAACGAATAAGTCATTTCAACAAGATTGCAGGATGCAAGTTAAGTACACAAAAATCAGCTGTATTTCCATATGCTAGCAGCAGACAACCAGAAACTGGAATTTTTTAAAATATAATTTACAGTAGTATCAAAAAAATAGGAAATAACTTAGAGATTCCTTTAACAAAGGGTGTACCCTGACAATTATTAAACATGTGAAAAGAAATTAAAGATGATTTAAATAACTAAAGGGAGATATTGTGCTCATGGGTCACAGGACCTAACATTGTCAGAGTGTCAATTTTGATTTATATTTTCAATATAATCCAATTAAAATTTCACTGTCATTTTTGTAAAAAGCAATGAGTTTTTTCCAAAATTTATGTGGAAATTCAGATGAACTGGTACAGCCAAAACAACTTTAATAAGGAATAACAAAGTTGGAGGATTCAAACTGTCTGACTTCAGGTCTTAAAAGACATAATAGTCAAGAAAGCATGATACTGGTATGTAAACAAATCAGTGGAACAGACTAGCGGGTCTAGACAGACTCACACGTAGATCATCTGACAAAAGTAGAAAGTAAATTCTATGCAGAAAGGATAGTCTTTTTTACAGATGGTACTGATACAATTTGATAATCTATCTCTATGCCCAAAAATGAACTTCAGACCATATATATAGAATTTAACTCAAAATGGAACATAGGCTTAAATGTATGTCCTTAAAAGTTGTAAGACTTCTAGAGGAAAATGTAGGAAAAAATTCTCTGAAGACTTAAAAGATAGGCAAAGATTTTTTAGAGACCAAGCACACATTGTTCTCTGTCAAATTTTCTCTCATCAAAATTAGTAACTTCTGCTCTTTGGAAGTCACTCTTAAGTGAATGAAAATACAGGCTGTAGATTGAATGAAAATATTTGCAAGTAACATATCTGATAAAGGATTTCTATCCAGAATGTATAATGAACTCTCTAAAGTTAATAGTAAAAAAACAAACAAACAAACAAAAAAACCCATTTTTTGTCCTTTGGGCCTGAGATGCCATCTTCCAGTAATTCACCTAAATGACAAACACAAAGGGAAAGAAGAGAGGCACCCAATACACATTCTCTGGGCCTTTTAGAAAACATGGAGTTGTTCTTTTGGCCAAATATATGTGAATCTACAAGAAAGGTGCTATTATAGACATCAAGGGAATGAGTACTGTTCAAAAAGGCATGCCACTCAAATGTGACCATGGCAAAACTGGAAAAGTCCACAGTGTTACCCTGCATGCTGTTGGCATTGTTGTTAACAAACATGTTAAGGGCAAGATTCTTACCAAGAGAATTAATGTTCATGTTGAGCATATTAAGCCAAGATAGCTTCCTAAAGCGCATGAAGGAAAATAATCAGAAGAAGAAGAAAGTCAAAGAGAAAGGGACCCGGAATCAACTGAAGCGCCAGCTTGCTCTACCCAGTGAAGCACACTTTGTGGGAATCAACGGAAAAGAGCCTAAGCTCCTGGAACCCATTCCTTTTTGAATTCATGGCATAATAGGCGTAGCACACAGGAGAACCAAGAGAACCAATGGAACAGTAATATAAGGTGCTGGAACCTTTTTTCTGTGAATTCATGGCATGATAGGTATTAAAAATAAAAGGCTACTATAAAAATAAATACATAAACCAATTTTTAACACATTGACTGCCACATTAGAAAAAAATTGTCACCTTGGGGCTATGGTGTTTTGTTACAAAAATAGAATAAAAACTTTGAAAACAAAACAATTCTTTCTAATTTAATGAAAAGTTTTTTTAAATTATTTTCTGTGCATGAGTTGTATGTGATTCATGCTTACATGCTTATTGAATTTGTTTCTGAGAATTGAGTCTTTTGTCATGCCACAGTATTTAGTTGTACCTGGAGTGGACCTTGGGTGATCCTGGATGATGACTTCTGAATCATACTCCCTAAGTATGTGAAACAGTGTCACAACAGCAGATACTACCCTATTGATTTTGTTCAGAGATACCACCTGACAGAAATATTCATGGTGAAACACACAATAAGAAGTTACAATAATTGGAAAACACAGTCTAGCACACATGTGCACTTGGGCCAGCAGCTGGAGCAGGGCAACAAAAGTGGGGAGACTGCTGATTGACAGCTAAAATAATGAGCAAAGGTTTCACAGCTTCACGACACCCCAGGCTCAAAACGAACATGAGTTAAAGACAACTCAGATGGCAGTTAATGTGTTAAAAGAATAGACAACAATTTTAAATGGAAACGTCACCGAAGAAGACATATTGCCTGGTAAATGAGCTCATGATAAAGATTCTCAGCATCTTTATTCATTAGGAAAATACAAATAAAATCATGCTGAGATACAGCAATACATTTATAAGAATGTCTAAGAGTACCTAAAATCTTGATGAAAATATGGAGCAACTGGAAGTTTCATCATTGCTAGTTCTAAGCACAGGATAAATATGTAATAAATTTTGGATGGGTAATAGAACTGTGAACATTAGAATAATATGTGTAATATTCATTTGGTATTTTTTTAAAGCTAAAACTCAGTTATTGTTGTGGACCAAGCACTTTAAATGTAAGTCCTTTACATACATTTAATCAAATCCCCTTATAAGAAATAGTAAGTGTTGTACCTATTTTACAGATGGCTGGTTTAAGCCTCAAATTCACATACAAGAGGAATAATTGAGACAGATATGAATTTCATAATTACATCTGGTTTTCCCCAAAACTCTCACTTCTAATGATCATATCTGCCTCCAATTTAATGTTTAATAATAGTTATTCCATTTTTCAAATCAAATATTAAGAGTATCACGTTTAGAATATTCAAATAAATACAGGATATCCCCAGGTTACAAATAAGAAAGGTTCTCTAAGGTTTGTTCTTAATTTGAATTTGTATAAAAGGTACATGTACCTATTATCTGTAATAGCCTCCATTCATAAGTGTAAATCATATGTCAAGGACTGCCTGTATGCCTTCGTTCTCAAAGAAAGTCTCATAAATATGTTATAAATAAATAAGTTAAATCAAATCAGTACCAAATTCTGATATGTTAGAGGAAGATAGAATGGTAAGAAAGTATATTTCCATGCAATTGATTATTTTGAAATTTCATAATACTATCTAAAAGATGCTGTGCCTTTTTGTACTTTTCATAAAACTGTGTTGGATTAAATTAAGAAGGATGTTTTAATACCCAATAAATCAAAGAGTAGCTTTGATTCTGAAAACTGCCAAAAGCATATTTGTTAATATAATTTAGAATCATAACTATAGCAAGAAGATGAAGGGATTAATTTGCTTATTTATACACTAGAGATTACAGTAAGTATATTGAGGTTAGAATAATACAGGAAGGAAGAAGAAAATTAATACCATCAATGAGCTTACTTATAACCTGTCAATAATAGGTATAATTTATGAACTAACACTTTCTTATTCTGGACATATTTTATGACTTCATGCAAATATTTGAGCTTATTTTACAAGCTTAGAAGTTAGCACAAGCCTTGAAGTTGAGTTTTTGTTCTAATGAAATTTAGTAAAAAAAGATTGTGTAACATCTTGACATCTAGGATAATTAAACCTGTTTAGAATGTCAGGAAACTTACAAGAAAATATTGAACAGTGGAAGAAATAAGTTTAAGAACATTATTTACTCACTTGGAACATATACTCTGACATGACAATTATTATGTTGAGTTTTCAAGATACTAGCAATAATAATATGCATCTCAAAAATGCAAGATAAAAATCCTCTAAGTTTTTCTTTAACAGATATTTTTTTTACTGTCTTAGGATTTTGAATTATGGGATGATGTAGGATTAAACATTCCAAAACCTCCGGACTTACTGCAACTCTACCGAGATTTTGGAAATCATCAAGTAACTGGAAAAGATCTTGTGGACGTGGCCAGTGGGGTAGAAGAAGATGAATTAGAGGCCCTTACACCAGTTTCAGGAACCCTTCCTCCAACCCTTGAAACTCTCCAGCCTGTAGAGGTAAATAATATCAACCAACTAGTCAAGTCCACAAAAGAGTACGTAAGCTGTGTAAAAACATACTACAAGATCTTGAGTGTCTCTTTTTTTCTTTTTATTTTAGAACTCTATGTTAGTACAGAAATTAGAAGATAAAATTACTTTATTAAATAGTGAGAAATGGTCATTGATGGAGCAAATCAGAAGACTTCAGAGGTTAGTACTTGATCATCATTTCTAAACAAAAATTTTTTTTCCAGATTAATATGAGGGTACATACAATTAGGTTACATAGTTTGCTTTTGGAAGGTTAAAGTCCAGGTTGTAGTGGTGTCCATCCCCCAGAAGTGTGCAGTATACCCATGCAATGTACACATTGGTTGAGTATTTATTCAACCCATTCCCCCTCTCACCCCTAACTTGAATTTGAGTTTTTCTCTCAGCTGAGCATGTAGTTGTTAATCCCCTGGTTCTAATTAAATATTAAGTACATGTAATGCTTATTTTTCCATTTGTATGATACTTAGGAGAACATTCTCCAAATCTGTCCAAATGGTTTAAAAAGATACAAAATCATCTTTTTTATGACTCAATAGTATGCCATGGTATACGTATACCACAGTTTATTAATCCATTCATATGTTGAAAGGCACTTGGGTTGTCTCTACATCTTTGCAATTACAAACTGTGCTGCAATAAACATTTGAGTGCAAATGTCCTTATGGTAAAATGACTTTTTCTTTTGGGTACTTACCTAGTAACGGTATTACAAGAACAATTGGTAGGTCTACTTTTAGTTCTTTGAGGAATCTCGATTCTTCTTTCCACAGAGGCCATACATAGACATTGGTAGGTTATATAAATAATGTGAAACAGAATTTTAGTTGTAAGCCAGAATGTTTTTGCTTTTTAATACTTCTGAAAGAAAGTTCTCTAATTGCTTTATGTATTTAAAATAATCATGTCTTTTTCCCTAAAAATAAACTTGCATAGTGATCTTACAATTGATTAGGTCTTGGACCTAAGAAATAAGATTATCTTTACTTCCCTTTCACTTTAGTATTGTACATATTTCCCATTCATTCTTTCATTTAATTCTTGTAATAATCCTGTGGGTTTGATGGAGTTATCCCATCTTGCAAAGGAATAAGGCAAGTTAAGTGCTAATTAAAAGCAGGACTTACAAGGCCGTTTTTATGCCTCATTGAGAGTGTGTGTCTATACTTGTAGATATA